GAGATATTTAGGGGTAGAAACTCTGAGGCTATGCAAATGTCCTGTTTCTCCTTAAAGTTTTGTCCATTAAATTTCTCATCCATCAGTGGCTTCTGCCTCCCGCAGTCATTTACTGTGGCATTCTAATGGCGATTTTCTACTTTCGTCGTTCGTTCTACATTTATTTTTTTTAAAGATTTTATTTATTTCAGAGAGAGAGAGTGTGGGCTGAGTGGAGGAGGAGCAAAAGAGGAGGGAGAGGGAGAGAGACTCACCAGCAGACTCTGAGCTAAGCACGGAGCCCCAAGCGGGGTTTGATCATGACGCTGAGATCACTACCTGAGCCAAAACCGAGAGTCGGACACTTAATCGACTGGGCCACCCAGGCACCTCTCATTCTACATTTATTAATTGAAAGTCTCCTGTCAGGGACATTTGTCCCTTCTCCTCCATTTCTTTTTAAAGATTTTATTTATTTATTTGACAGAGAGAGCACAAGTAGGCAGAGAGGCAGGCAGAGAGAGAGAGAGAGGGAAGCAGGCTCCCTGCTGAGCAGAGAGCCCGATGCGGGGCTCGATCCCAGAACCCTGAGATCATGACCTGAGCCGAAGGCAGAAGCTTAACCCACTGAGCCACCCAGGCGCCCCTCTCCTCCATTTTTAAATGGATTTACTCACGTATTTTTAATCAGTACGGACTCGTGTGGACTTTATTTCATCGTTGGGGTCATAATCCAATACTATGGTTATTCACTTTGTTCTCAGATTGTTCCAGCTGTGGCCAAGGAAAGTTCTTTGAGGTTGGCTTCCGAGTCCTTTCAGCTTGTTTTAAGTATTTTCTGCCGCTGGAAGTGTCTCCAGGCTGGTGTGGTATTTTCTCGGCTCTAGTCCTAGAATCAGCCATTTCTCCAGGCCTGGGTCACTATATTGGAAAATGGTATTTATTTTTATCAATTTTTTAAACTTTTTTTTACAATTTTATTTATTTATTATTTATTTGACAGACAGAGATCACAAGTAGGCAGAGAGGCAGACAGAGAGAGGAGGAAGCAGGCTCCCCACCGAGCAGAGAGCCCGATGTGGGGCTTGATCCCAGGACCCTGGGATCATGACCTGAGCCAAAGGCAGAGGCTTTAACCCACTGAGCCACCCAGGCGCCCCGGAAAATGGTATTTAGAGAGCAAGACCTGGGGGCTGGGGCGCCTGGGTGGCTCAGTCATTAGGCGTCTCCCTTGCCACTCGGGCCTTGATCCCAGAGTGCTAGGATAGAGCCCTGTATCCGGCTCCCTGCTCAGCGGGGAGTCTGCTTCTCCCTCTCCATCTGCTGCTCTCCTTGCTTGTTCTCTCTCTCTCTGTAAAATAAATAAAATCTTAAAAAAAAAAAAAAACCTGGGGGCTGAGTGTATTCATTTTTTCCTGGGGTATCAATGCTTCCGAACCTTCAGCAGACAGTGCCAGGAAATATGTGTGTGTTTACTAACCCATGTATACACACACTTATATTTATTTTCATATCTATCTTTTTAAAAGATTTTATTTATTTATTTGTCAGAGAGAGAGAGAGAGAGAGTATGAGAAGGGGAAGCATCAGAGAGAGAGAGAGAAGCAGGCTCCCTGCTGAGCAAGGAGGATGCTCTGGGGCTGGATCCCAAGAACCCGGGATCATGACCTGAGCCAAAGACAGACACTTAACCAACTGAGCCACCCAGGCGCCCCTTGTGCCTATTAAAATAAATACATCAGGGCACCTGGGTGGCACAGTCGTTAAGTGTCTGCCTTTGGCTCAGGTCATGATCCGGGGCTTCTGGATGAGTCCCACATCGGGCTCCCTGCTCGGCGGGAGGACTGCTTCTCCCTCTCCCACTCCCGTGGCTTGTGTTCCTTCTCTCACTGTTCGCTGCATCTCTCATCAAATAAGTAAACAAAATCTTTAAAAAAAATAAAATAAAATGAATACATCATACTGCTAACCACAGTCCAGCACCATTTTTCTTCCTTCCTTCCTTCCTTTCTTCTTTCTTTCTAGATTTTATTTTTAAGTAATGTCTACACCCAAGATGGGGCTCAAACCGGCAACCCTGAGATCAAGAGCAGGTACGCTCCACCGCCCGAGCCAGCCAGGCGCGCCCACCTTGCTCATTCACAACTTCCTTCTGCACCAGCCGGAATCTGGCCGTCGGTACGGACCCTATGTACTTGCTGGTTCAACACTGGCATATAAATAGTCCCCGAGTTGTTAGCCTGCACCCCTGCAAGCAACAGATTTACCAGCTAAAGCACAGTGTTTCCGGGCAGGTCCGCTGGTTATTTGAATGGGAGGCCTCCGAGCTAAGCGAACAGGCCTGGGGTCCTTAGGCCTCCAGTTTGAGAGCCCCCCCCCAACCATGATTGCTCTGGTCTCTGGCCAGGGCAGGGGGAGCGGGGGGCGGGGGGGGGGGGGTGTCAGTTTGCTCCCCCCTGCCTACGGCATTCAGGGCTCAAAATCGATCCGTGCAAATGGGGTGGAGAGGGCGAAATGGAACCTCCCCCGCACCCCCAGCTGCGGTCCTGCAACCCTCGAGGCGGGTGGGGGTTTGAGACCACAGCGCTGGGCATTTTGTCCTCTCGCTGGTGCTGACTCTGCTTTGAGAGTGGGTGCTGACCGGGCGGGGCAGCCCCCGTGGGAGGGCGCTGGGAGCAGAACCTGCTCGGTGGGTGCCCGCCCAGGCACGCATCAGGTGCGCGGGCTGTGGCATGAGCTGCCCTTCCCTAGGGAAGAGACCGGGCTTGACTGGGGCTGGGGCTGTGGGGGGGCGGGAAGGATGGGTGGGGGGTGCTTAAGGCCCATGAGGCCTGAGCTGAGGCCCCTCCTAATTCCTCCTCAGGGACACAGTGCTGACCCAGAGTACCCAACATTTATGGAGCTCTCACAGTATGTCCGGTTCTGCTTTTTGTTTTTGTTAATTCTGGTTCTGTTTTTTTTTTTTTTAAGATTTTATTTATTTATTTGACACAGAGAGAGATCACAAGTAGGCAGAGAGAGAGAGGGGAGGAAGCAGGCTCCCGGCCAGGCAGAGAGCCCGATGCAGGGCTCGATCCCAGGACCCTGGGATCATGACCTGAGCTGAAGGCAGAGGCTTTAACCCACTGAGCCATCCAGGCGCCCCATCTGTTCTAATCATACCTTTCATCCTCAGTATCCCTCAGAGAGGACACTGTTATTAAGTCCATTTTACAGATGAGGCCACTGAGGATCATTTGCTCACGGTCCTAGACTACAGAGTAGCTGAGCCTGGCACCAGACTCCGAACCCTTTCTATTTAGATGACATCGGGCCAGAGAGACAGACAGGGTTTCTTTCTGCCTTCCCGGATCTGGGAGTTAGGGCACAGACACACCACGGGCCCTGTGAATAAATAAATAAGGTAGTTTCACACAGTGCCAAATACCATGTGAGACTGGGGAGGAGGGAGAGAGATCAAGAAGTCCTCTCTGAGGAGGTGACCAGCTGGGAAGTGTTGGGGGAAAGGGTGACTTATCCCCAAGAACAAGGGTCCTGAACTGTGTGAGGAATCGGTAGGAGGAATTGGCCGGAGGCCACCGGGGCAGGAGGGCAAAGGGTGGCTGGAGCCAGGGACAGCAGTGAAGTAAGTAAGGAGACACAGCGGGGCCACGTGGACGATGGTGAGCACTGTGGCAGTTACTTTGAGTCACCTTGGGAGCCATGGGAGAATTTAGAGCAGGAGAGGGAGCTGATCTGGGTATTTTTGTCTTTTAAGATTTTATTTATTTATTTGACAGAGAGAGATTGCGAGTAGACAGAGAGGCAGGCAGAGAGAGAGAAGGGAAGCAGGCTCCCTGCCGAACAGAGAGCCCGATGCGGGACTCGATCCCAGGACCGTGAGATCATGACCCCAGCCGAAGGCAGCGGCCCAACCCACCGAGCCACCCAGGCGCCTGACCTGATCTAGGTATTAAGAACTGTGGCCACAGGTGCGGAACGGTGGAGAGGGGTGGAGGCACAGAGCTGGAGAAGGTAGGGTCCTAGTCTAACAGAAAAGGGGTACTAGGGGTGGACGGTGGCGGTGGGAGGGCCCAGGGAGGTGTGAAGAGACCACATTCCCACAAAGGGTGCGGCTTCCCTTTCACAGAAGGGGGTCATTTATCCAGCATCTGGGTGGTTCCATTGCATCTGGGGAATCTTCAGGGCTCATCCCTGCTGGCTTGGAAGGCCAGGTTGTGGGGCACCCCTACCCAGATGTTCCCCATCCCCCCACCCTGGCCCCACTGGCTGCACTTGCCCTGTGTGTGTCTTTGGTTGGAGCAAGCGGGAACCTTTCTGTCTCCCCAAGGAACAGTGCGGGTAGAATCCTCAGGGATCCCCAAGGGGCTACATGGGGCTATGACCAGGCCTGGGTGCCCCTCTCCATCCCTCACCGGGGGGGCACCCCCCAATCCTCCCCTCATGGTTGAGTCAAAGGGCAGCCACCAATCCCAGTCCCCCCTTCCTGGCTAAAGCCTCTGGTCTGAGGGTGGGGGAGTCGGGCCTGGCCAGGAAACTCCTGGGAACTGGGAGTGGGGGTTTGGGGCCAGCTGGGACTGGCCCGTTGGAGAAGCGGAAGCCTGGGAGAGGCGTGGGAGAGCGACATAGACAAAGACAGCCAACGACTGAGAGAGACACGAGAGAGACCAGGAGAAAGAGAGACAGACCCCAGATCTGATGAATGAGATACACACACAGAAAGTGACCGTACACTCATTCATTCATTCACTCACTCAGCAGATAACTTACTGGGCCTGGGCTGTGCCCCTGCAGGGGTGGGGGGCTGCCTCCATGGGGGCTGACCTTCTGGTGGGGACACAGCCCAGAAACATGTTAAATGAGTAAATCACATCGTTGGGAGCAGTAAGGGTAGCAGAGACCAGGTGTGGGGGAGCCAGAACTTCCTCATTTGGGGAGAAGGAGGTTCCCACCAGAATCCTGCCTTCTCCTGCTCCTCCCCAACTCCCTCTAAGCCAGGTGTGGGAGCGGGGGAGGCGGGGATGGAGAAGGCCCAGCGCCCGGAGCCACCAGAAGGTGACTGCTGGGGTCGGGGGACTGAGGCTATTGTCGCCTTGCTGAAGACCCCTCCTAACCTGCGCGCCCGGGGTCCGTCGCCGACGGGGCGTTCTCGGGGTGCATCCCGGAGTCTCAGCTGCAAGGTAGGCGGGAAGTGGGCAGGGACCAGTGTCCAGGCCCCATAGCATAGACGGGACCCCTCTGCTGGGGGGCAGGAAGAGGCTCAGGCTACAGCCGCCCCTGCTGAGAACCTCCCCATCCCGCTTCTCCGGGTCCTCCCACCCCGACGGAGCGGTCCCTGGGAGCAGTTCAGGCCCGGAGGGGGGAGCCAAGGGCTCGCCGGTGCCAGTCGCCGACGGGGCGCGCTCCGGTGCCGCGGCGGGTGGCACAGGCTGGCAGCCATGGGCTGGGTGCCCGGGCCCCAAGGGGAGGGGGCGACTGCTGGCGACCGCCAGAGGTCCGCGTCGTGGGCCCTCCCCCTCGCCTGCCAGCTCCGGTCCCGCCCCCGGAGCCGCGTCCGCTCACTCTGCTCTGGGCAGAGCAACTGCCGCGGGCGCACGACTAGGGCGCGGGGGTGAGTGTACTGCGCTCGGTCTCCAGGGGCGCGGGGCTCAGTCCCGCCGGCAGGGGATTGCTCTGACCGCTCCCCCGGTCCCCCTGTTTGTATCTCCCTGGAAGCCTCAGGAGAAGGGGGTGGCGGGGGTGGGAGGGAAGGCGGCGACTCCCGGGCTGGATGCTGGGGCCGGAGATAGGAAAAGGGGCGCCTGGACTCCCCTGGCCTCGCCCTCTCCTTCTCCCGGCCGCACTGCAAGTTTCGCTACTTCAGTCCTGTTTCCAGGGACTCCGAGGCGAGGCGGGAGATGCCGAGGCTGTGAGCCTCTGGCTCTGTGTCCGCATCAGAGCGTCACCCATGTCTGCACGGATCTGATGCCTCCCTCCCCGCAGCGTGGCTGAGTCCGTGACTCCCTGGGTCTGTATTCGCGCCAGGTTCCCCGAGGGCAACCGATGCCAGCCGGGGTGCATTTTTTCCTGCCCTGTGCCAGTAAGTCCGTTCCCCTTCCCAGCCTCGATTTTCTCATCCATTAAGTGGGACTTGCGCGACTGTCTTAGCATTTCTGAGGAGCTGTATTTGTGTTGAAACATGAAAACCTTCATGTCCCCTTCTTATTCGAGGAACTTTTGAGTCAACGGTTTCCAGTCTGTAAACTGGAACTGAGAGCTGTGAGGGGATCAGAGGGTGAAGTCTTGGGCAGGAAGTATTATTACACTGTAATGACACGTGCGCCCCTCTGCAAAAGCCATCTGGATCCTGTCTGCTGCCCTCAGGCTCTGCCTCTCTAAAATGGGAGGGCAGACAACTTTCTCACATAGACTGTGAGGTTCCGGGTTCCCGGGTTGGCTGAGGGTGGAGGCTGTGAAATTGTGGCCTGAACGAGTGGGTGAGACCCTCTCTGTGGCTGAATTTGGGTCCCTGTGTGACTCTGGCTATGTTGCTCCGCTCCTGTGTGAATATATTTTCTTGTTTCCCCCATGGGGTGTGACTGTGAGTACAAGCCATTGTCAACGTGTCACTGTATTGGTGTGTGCGTCCCTGTCTGCTTATGATTGAATCTGCCCCTGGATATCCCTGATTATATGTGACTTACTAGTGTCCCTTTCCTGTGGGACTCTGTTCCTGTGTCCCCTCGTGATATTATTAGCGTGTCTTTGTGTCTGCCCCTCTCCATGGCCACCTCCTTTCCATCCCTAACTCCCTTTGAGCCCCGGGGTCAGTGTGGAGTGGTGGGCAGGGCCACCTTCCCCAGGGCTGCGAGCCCCTACCGTGCCCACCTACCTCCCCAGGCCTCACGCTGTCCCTAACCTCTCCGCAGCCTCGGGGCAAGCGGCCCATGGAGTCGGGGCTGCTGCGGCCGGCGCCGGTGAGCGAGGTCATCGTCTTGCATTACAACTACACGGGCAAGCTTCGCGGCGCGCGCTACCAGCCGGGCGCCGGGCTGCGTGCCGACGCCGTCGTGTGCCTGGCGGTGTGCGCCCTCATCGTGCTCGAGAACTTGGCGGTGCTCTTCGTGCTGGGGCGCCACCCGCGCTTCCACGCGCCCATGTTCCTGCTCCTTGGCAGCCTGACGCTGTCCGACCTGCTGGCGGGCGCGGCTTATGCCGCCAACATCCTGCTGTCGGGGCCCCTCACGCTGCGCCTGTCGCCCGCGCTCTGGTTCGCCCGTGAAGGTGGCGTCTTCGTGGCGCTCGCCGCGTCCGTGCTGAGCCTCCTGGCCATCGCGCTCGAGCGCCGCCTCACCATGGCCCGCCGAGGACCCGCGCCCGCCGCGCGTCGGGGCCGCTCGCTGGCCATGGCGGCCGCCGCCTGGGGCGTGTCGCTGCTGCTCGGACTGCTGCCGGCGCTCGGCTGGAATTGTCTGGGCCGCCTGGACACCTGCTCCACCGTCCTGCCGCTCTACGCCAAGGCCTACGTGCTCTTCTGCGTGCTCGCCTTCCTCGGCATCCTGGCCGCCATCTGCGCGCTCTACGCGCACATCTACTGCCAGGTGCGCGCCAACGCGCGGCGCCTTCGGGGACGCCCGGGTGCCGCGAGGGGCGCCCCGGGCCGCGCACGCCGCACGCCGCGCTCGCTGGCGCTGTTGCGCACGCTCAGCGTGGTGCTCCTGGCCTTCGTGGCGTGCTGGGGCCCCCTCTTCCTGCTGCTCTTGCTCGACGTGGCGTGCCCCGCGCGCGCCTGCCCCGTGCTCTTGCAGGCCGACCCCTTCCTGGGCCTGGCCATGGCCAACTCGCTCCTGAACCCCATCATTTACACGCTCACCAACCGCGACCTGCGCTTCGCTCTCTTGCGCCTGGTCTGCTGCGGCCGCCGCCCCTGCCACAGAGGGCAGGACGCCTCCCAGGGCTCCGGGAGCCCCGCTGGGGCTTCGGAAGGCCTGAACCGCTGGCTGCCCCCTGGCTTGGATGGCAGCTCCAGCCGCTCCGAGCGCTCGTCCCCGCAGCGGGACAGGCTGGACACGAGCGTCTCCGCTGGCGGCCCTGGGGCGCCCATAACCGCCCGGACCCTGGTACCTGCACCGGCCGCCGACTGATGCCCTTTGGCCTGCCGTTACCCTCCCTAAGGGCCGTTTGGCAGACTTTTTCTTTTTAAATAAGGAATTGATAGGAAAAGCAGCTGAAGATGGTGGCGGCAGAAGAGACAAAGGGAAACGTGTTTTATTTATGTTAAACCTCAGAGCAGTAAGTGAAACAGACAAAAATCCGCGGCCCTCGTGGCATTCACATCCTGATGGGGAACGCAGGCAATAACAGAGTGAAGAAATCATGGAGGTAATTGCATCTACAATACAGTGATGCCATCCATAGTGGTCAGGGGATGCTCCGCTGCAGAAGTGTGACATATACTGTAAGCTGAGCTGTCATTGCCCTGGGAACACTTGAAAGAAGAGCGTTGCAGGGTGAGGGAACAGCAGTGCAAAGGTCCTGAGGCCAGAACATGCCTGTGCCTTCTCAGAAAAGCAAAGATCTCCTCGTAGCTGGAGCAACAACGGAGGGGGGTGGTGGGAGGAAACAAAGGCAGGAATATAATGGGGCAGAGCGGGCAGAGCCTTGTGGGCTCCGTGGAGGACTTTGCTTTTACTCTGAGTGAAGTGGGAGGCAGACTTTGGACTTGATTTGCTTGAGATGTTCACAGATCTCTGTAAGGGGGAAGGTCGAAGCTAGAACAAGGTGAAAGTGCCTGCACTGGCCCAGAGGAGCAACGATAGGGGCTCAGGCTATGTGGACAGAATTACTGAGGAATTGAGTGTAGGCATGAGAGAAAGAAAAGAATCCTGTTTAGAGGAGGGAATGTTAAAGACAAGGCACCCTAAACTAAAATTTGACTGTGGAAGACAGCCAGTTCCTATCTGAAACAAGATTTCTTTGAGTGTGGTGTCATATCATAAAAAAATTAAAAACCTAATAAAATAATAAGAACAATTACAGCTTACTGTGCAGGGCCAGTCATCCCCACAGTGGTAGGCCCAGGACATACCTTTTCCTCGCCCTTACTGCAACTTTGCAAGGTAGCTTTCCTCACCCGGATTTGACAGATGAGCAGTGAGTACCTGGCCCAGTGTGGAAGCCAGTATATTAGCCCAGACCGCCAGACTCCCAGGCCCTAAGGGGCGCAGGCCTAGACTAGTGTCTGGCTTCTTCAGAGGGGCATGGCAAGGGCAGACACTCCCTCCCTGAGTGGTCTGCATTCTTGTCTGGGGGCGATACCAGGGGCCTGTTTGTGCCCATAAAAGGCTCCAGGCATGCTGGCTCTGGGTACCAGCTGTCCCTAGACGCATTCCTGACCCCAGTGCCGCATTGCGGCCCGGGGGAGGGGCAGGGGGCTTTGGGCTCAAAGTACCGCGTGCCACTTGCCGGGAGACCCGAGTAACTGCAGGCAGCCGCAAAGACCCCAGTGTGTTTTGGGGGCCACGGACTCACCCTGGGGGCCCGAGTGTCCACTGGCCACGCTCAGGTAGTCCCTGCGGGCCACATGCACGGGAAACCAACCTATTTCCTGGAACACAAACACACTGAAACTGGGACGCTCCCAGGACTAGACCTAATTTCCCACTGGGCCTGGTGCCCCTGACCCCAGGCTCCTTTATCGTCTAAGGGAACCTGAAGCTCACTCCATTGTTTGGTTGTTTGATAGGATGATAGTAAAGGGATTTAGTCTCTTGTTCACATTTTACACAATTCAAAAAGCACCAGTTCCCCTTGTAGGATGTGATCGCTGTGGGGAATCCTTGGAAATTTCCAGAGCTATTCTGTGGATAAACGAGCTGACAGGTAAACACTTCTTTCTTTTTTTATATACAATTTTAGCACTGCTTTGCATCTTGCTTTTTTACTTAGTAGTATATCTTGGAAACTGTTGCACACCCACAGATTTTGTACCATCTTACCCTCTTAGTTGGCTCAGGCTGTCGTAACAGACACCATTACCTGAGCAGTTGAAACAGCAGAGACTTACTTCTCACGGTTCTGGGGTTTGAAGTCCAAGACGAGCACACCAACCTTATCTAGTGAGAGTGAGGACTCTCTTCCTGGCTTGCACATGGCTACCTTCCTGCTGTGTCCTCTCTTGGCATAGAGAAATCAAGAAGCTCTCTGATGTCTCTTCTTATAAGGGCTCAAATCCCATCATGGGGCCCCACCATGAATGGCCTCATCCTCCCCAAAGACCCATCTCCAAATACCATCCTGTTGGGGGTTAGGGATTCAACATATATTTCTTGTGGGGGAGCATGGGGGTTGACAATTTGATCCATAGCACTAAAATTTTTTTTTTACTTTTTAAAATTTTTTAAATTTGTAAAAGATTTTATTTATTTATTTGCAAACAGAGAGAGAGATCACAAGTAGGCAGAGAGGAAGGCAGAGACAGAGAGGGAAGCAGGCTCCCTGCTGAGCAGAGAGCCTGACACAGGGCTCAGTCCCAGGACTGTGAGATCATGACCTGAGCTGAAGGAAGAGGCTTAACCCACTGAGGCACCCAGGCGCCCCCCAATTTTTTTTTTAATCGAGATAACATCCATAAGGCAAATGTCTTAATCCCTTTCACTGGCTGCATAATATTTCACAGCGGGGTTGTGCCCACAACATATCACATCAGGATCCTATGGAGGGACGTGGGGGTTGAGTCCGAGCCTTTGCCTTTATACACAGTACTGCGGTACATCCTCTTGCACGTGTGCAAGTGTACCTTGGATAAATCTCTGCAAGTGGCATCGCTGGGTCACAGGGTCTGTATGTTTGATTTTGAGGTATGAAAGTGCTTCAAACACATTCTGGGAAGGTGCTGGTTGCCTTAGAGCTGGGGGCCGCTCTGTGTATTCGCTGACTGTGCTATGGCGCCCCTGCTGGAGAAGCCTGGAACTGCAGCTTCACTCAATAGCACCCCCTTCCACCCTCTGGCTTGGATTTAATCCTAGACTGAGTAGAGATGTTGAATTTTTAAAATGCACTCCTAAGGCTGGCAGAATCTTTTCTTAGACCAACAGCTTTTTAGCCTGGCATTTCCTTCGATTATTCGCCTAGTTTTCATTTAGATGGACTCCTTTTTTTTCTTTTAAAGAAGATTTAATATAGAGCATCTTTAGGAAACAGATTTCCCAAGTGCAGTTGAAATTTGGGTCAGTTTATCATCTAGCTTTTCAGGAATGAATGTATATCACATATGGCAAGAATTATTCCTATGAGATACTTGTTTTTTAAGATTTTTGTGAAGCCATTTCATTAGAAAACTGTAAGTGTTGTATCCTTGATTATGTCTCTTCAAAGATATATAGTCTTTCTTTAAAAAAAAATTAGGGGGCGCCTGGGTTACTCAGTGGGTTGGGCCTCTGCATGGTCTCTGGGGCCTGGGATGGAGGCCCACCGGGGCTCTCTGCTCCATGGGGAGCCCGCTTCCCCGTCTCTCTCTGCCTGCCTCTCTGCCCACTTGTGATTCCGCTGTCAAATAAATAAATAAATAAATCTAAAAAAAAAAAATTAGGGGCTCCTGGGTGGCTCAATTGGTAAAGCCTCGGACTCTTGATTTCAGCTCAGGTCATGATCTCAGGGCCGTGAGATGGAGCCCCACATTGGCCTTCTCCGTGATCGTGGAGCCTGCTTAAGATCCTCTCGGGGTGGCTCAGTCATTGAGTGTCTGCTTCCGCTCAGGTCATGATCCCAGTGTCCTCGGATTGAGCCTGGCATCAGGCTCCCTGCTCAGTGGGGAGCCTGCTTCTCCCTCTCTTGCATCCCCTGCTTGTGTTCCCTCTCTTGATGTTTCTCTGTCAAGTAAATAAATAAAATCTAAAAAAAAAAGAAAACTTTCTCTCCCTTTGACCCTTCCCCCACTCATGCTCTAAAAAAATTTTTTTTAATTATTTTGATTCCATTGTAGTTACCATACAATGTTGTATTAGTTTCAGGTGTTCAATATAGAGATTCAATAATTCTATACATTACTCAGTGCTCATCATGGTAAATGTACTCTTAATTAACCCCTTTCACCTATTCCACTCATCCCCCACCCACTTCCTCTTTGGTAACCAGCACTTTGTTCTCTATAGTTAAGAGTCTGTTTGCGGATTGTCTTTCTCTTTTTTTTCTTCTTATTTTTTTTAAGATAGGGAGGAGGGAGGGGCAGAGGGAGAGGGAGGAAGAATTTTTTCTTCCCCCCATTCTCTCAAATATTTTATTTATTTATTTGACCGACAGAGATCACAAGTAGGCAGAGAGGCAGGCGGGGGGCGGGGAGCAGGATCCCCGCTGAGCAGAGAGTCCGATGTGGGGCTCAATCCCAGAACCCTGAGATCTTGACCTGAGCCAAAGCCAGAGGCTTAACCCACTGAGACACCCAGGCGCCCCAAGGGAGAAAGAACCTTAAGCAGGCTCCTCCTCCAGCATGGAGCCTATTCTGGGGCTCATCTGACAACCCTGAGATCTTGACCTAAACTGAAATCAACTGAGGCGCCCAGGAGGCCCAGCCTTTGTTTCTTAAGTTCCACTCATGATTGAAATCATATGGTATTCATCTTTCTCTGACTGGCTTATTTTGCTTGGCATTATACCCCCAGCTCCATCCATGTTGTTGCAAATGGCAAGATTTTATTCGTTTTTATGGTTGAATAATATAAGTATATGCCAAATCTTTACCCATTCATCTGTAGACGGACACTTAGGCTGCTTCCATAGTTTGGCGTAGATGGGCTCTTTTGTTTATTTATTTTTCTATTTTTTAAAAAGATTTTATTTATTTATTTATTTGACAGACAGAGATCACAAATAGGCAGAGAGGCAAGCAGAGAGAGAGGAAAAGGAAGCAGGCTCCCTGCTGAGCAGAGAGAGTCGGATGCGATGCGGGGCTCTATCCCAGGACTCTGGGATCATGACCTGAGCGGAAGGAAGAGGCTTTAACGCACTGAGCCACCCAGTGGCGCCCCTAGATGAGCTCTTTTAAAAATAAGTACATTTAAAAATTAACTTTATAAAGTCAGTATAAATGGCAAATCAATAGTATCTCTTGCACTGAAAAATAACAATTGTTCCTATGTCCTCCGGATCCCCTAGCCGGTAGGTGCTAGTATTATTACCACTTTACAGGGAGAAAACTGAAGCATAGACAGGTCGAGTTAGAGTCCTTTCCCTACAGGGCTAGAGAATGGGAGAGCCGGG